TGACCAACCAAGCTTATCTTCTCACGGCTAAATACGAGGCAGCAGAGATGTAAAGCAGGCTCCTGCTAGTTCACGTTCCTGCCTCAAACAGCATCTGTCATGCTGAAGTGTCCTTGGGTAAGACGCTGAATCATTGCCAAATGTTATTGATGTTCTATTGACCTCTTCATGGAGAGAAGCATGAGGGGGGATATATAGCACTCAGTGGAACTCGCTGAATCCATTCCAATATGTCTACATCCTTTGTAAAGGTTTACATCTGTTTGCACTGAGGAGGGATAATTAACTGTTAACATTTTCCAAAAAAAATTTTTGGGGAAAAAAGGGTTCTTCTGTGAGATACAAAGGCTTGGACCAAAAGGGGCTGAAGAGTTTGTCATATTTAGTTTCTGTAAAGGGGGGGGGGGGCATCAGAAGACAGAAGGTGAGTCTGTGAGTGGAAGATCACGGTTTGATCACCCAGACCAACAACATCAAAATGTTGGTGGGAAATGTAAAGCACCCACACCTGTCTCCACTCTCATTTGCCCCACTCTGGGCCCTTGAGCAAGCCCCTTAACCCCCACCATCTGCTCCCCCAAGGGCCCTAGATAGCAGCTCTCTGCTCCACACAGAGGGCTATGGTAGCTCGGTGGTCTGCAGTTGCATCAGGAAGGGCATCCGGTGTAAAAACAATTGCCAAGTCTTCATGCAAGTTAGTTTGCTGTGGCAACCCCGATGAAGGGAGCAGAAGAAAAAATAAATAAATAAAAGTTTCTATGAGAAAAAAGGAACCTTTAAGGTAAGGTTGTGACTTTGCCTTAGGATCTTCAACTACAATATAAGAACAAACCTAGTTTCATCATATGCTGTGTGTCCTGAAATGAATCGCAAAATGGGTCCCATACTGCCAAATATTTGCCCGATAATATGCCTGAGTATCTTCTTCCCTCTTTTCTGATTGATTCTTCACAGCGACTGGTCTGAAGCTCAAAGGAGGAACCTCTCTTTTTTATAACTTTTTTAAAAATTATTATTATTATTGTCGGGCAGCACGGTGGCGCAACTGGTAGAGCTGCTGCCTCTCAGCGAGCAGGTCCTTGGTTCAAACCCCGGTCCAGGGGCCTTTCTGGGTGGAGTTTGCATGTTCTCTCCGTGCATGCGTGGGTTTTCTCCGGGTACTCCTGTTTCCTCCCACAGACCAAAAACATGCATGTTAGGCTTATTGGTAACTCTAAATTGTCCCTAGGTGTGAGTGAGAGAGTGAATGGTTGTTTGTCTCGTTTGTCTCTATGTGATCCTGTGATGGACTTGCGACCCGTCCAGGGTGTACCCCGCCCCTCGCACAGTGATTGCTGGACATGGGCACCAGCGACCCCCGTGACCCAAAATGGAATAAGTGGGTAAAGATAATGGATGGATGGATTATTATTGTCATGCAGCTAGAAAATCTAACTTAGATTAAAAAAAAAAGAATTACAGCATAAATGTTTGAGATAACAAATAGGTCAGATTTAATATGTTCAGTCTTGAAAACTAAATAGATCACCCAGTTTTTTGATTCCTTTAGCTTGCTCTGCAGAAACATCAGAAATCCATGCACTTCACACACTGGGACTTAATTCAGAAAGTCCTGTCCAACTTGACATACCTTTGTTGAGAAGTTGTCCAAATTACATCTAAAATGTTTTAAGATGGTGTTTGCTATAAGATTGTCAAGAACAAAATTTCAAATGAGCATTGACATGTCGATTAAGTTCTTTACAGAGCAAAAAAAGTAGTAAACTTGCTTCAAAATAATTTGTTTGTAAAACTAATTTCTTTAGTTTGACGGTAATGTGTGTTCTTCAACTAGGGCTGCAACTAACGATTATTCAATAATCGATTCATCGGCCGATTATTTTTTCGATTATCGATGAATCGGGGGGGAAAAAAAAGTTTAAATTTCCACCCCTTTATTCCAAAATTTGACTGACATAGCAATTCGCACAAAAAACAGGTTGCTATTTGACTATTCTGTTAGTAAAATATTGAATAATAAAAAATAAAAGTTAGTCAAATAGCTTAAAAAAATTAATGTACACAAAAATATATACAAATGTATCTTTACACCTGCACAATATGTAGCTACTTTGTAAAATGTGTCCTTGAGGGAAGAGTGTAACCTGGATTAAAAGTGTGGATTATTGTAACCTGAGTTAAAAGTGTGGATCATTGTAGTGACGCCTTCATCTTCAACCATCGATGGAGGCCTCATGTCAGTGACGATCATGTTCAGGATGTTTCAGTGAAGACAGCTGCTGCTGTGGTGTCCATGATGTCTGTCATGAAGGCTGTCATTGTTTGTTGTTGTTTTCTGGAATGAGACAGTAAATATGTATTATAGCATAATTTACAGCAACTCAAGAAATGCCTTGTTTCACTTACAGTGTTAGGTTCAGGCAAAAGTAGCTAAAAGAGTAATTAAACACACACACACACACACACATATAAAATACTTAATTACACACATTTGAGTAGATGTAATACATTACTTTAATTCCTGTTTAAATGCAATTCATCCTGCCATACCTGCAGTGTCTTCAGCCTTTGACAACAAACTAAGTTGAAGCTTAATCATTAAATTATTATCTTTGTGTTAGATTTATTTATAAATCACATTTAAACACTGCTTGTACCAATTAAATTAAATAAAAAGTAACACATGTTCTCTATCACCGTCATTAATCAGATAACAAACAAGCAGCAGCTTCAACTACAGACAGACTTACGTTACGTTTTCTCACTTGGAAACAGAACAATGTGTTAAATTGTAGAGACTCACCTGCAACATGAGTTGGGAGTGAAACACGTATCAGCTGCAGCTCCTTCCTCCTCCTCGTGACTCCGACATGTTTACGTTTATCAGCGTGATTCTCCTGTGTCGTGTCGTCAATTTTCATAGCTGCACGTTTCTCATTTTTTTATTTTTGTGAAGTTCTCCCACACTTTGGAGGACTTGGGGCGAACAGTTTTCGCTGCGTTGGTCATTTGTAAAATTTACTTAATTTCCTTTGAAAACACCGACTCTGCTCTGCTTCCACCTCCCCCCTCGCTCTGTTCAACTCGCGCTGCAGTTTTTTTTTTTTACTTTATTCAGTCAGTCAGCATTGACAATGAACTGCAGGTGAACAAAACGGCTTTGCAGCGCCGTGAGAGACGCTTAATCGCGCAATACAACAAATCGATAATGAAATTCATTGCCAACGCTTTTAATCATCTATTTTTATCGATTTTATCGATTTTATCGATTCGTTGTTGCAGCCTTATCTTCAACCACTAAATCCTTCAATCCTTTAAATAGGCCTGTTCCCTCTGACTAAGCTGTCTAAAGACAACTTTTTTGGGGGGGGGGGGGGGGGGGGGGGGAATCTTGATATGCATAGACATTTTAATCATTCATTTATTCATTCATTCAGTATTTTAAAGTCCTGACACATAAAAAAATAGATACATATTAAGTTTATATGTGCATAATAAAATATTATGATAAAAAGAGGACTCAGTCTAAACTCTTAACATCTTTAGATCTTGTCAAAGCACTTTTGATGGGACAAGGACAAGACAGGACACAGGACAAGACTCAGCTGTTCACCTCCACCTCACAGATAAGGGACACTCTTTTGAGGACCAAAATGTGCACATTTTGGACCGAGAACACAGATGGTTTGAGAGGGGGGTGAAGGAGGCAATTTATGTAAAAAGAGAAAAGCCGTCTCTTAACAGAGGAGGAGGCCTTAGATTTTCACTTTCAAAAACCTATAATGCAACTTTAAAACAGATTCCCAGCCAGTTTTCACACATGATGGGAACAGAGGGGCCTCGTCTGTGAATTAGAGGAACAAAAGACTCTTACTGTTAATGTTGTTTAGGTGTGAATTGCCAATCTACATATGTGTGTGTGTCTTATCTCACTCAGCCTTATAACCTGAATCTCTCACTATATGTTTACATGGACATAAGTAACCGGATCAAATGGCCGGTCGGAATAAAAGTGTGTCATGTAAACACTCCGTTCGGGTTATTTTTTGTGTATTCGGCGCGATACGATATAATTTGTGATCAGAACGAAACGGGTGGTTTACGCCGATCCGAAACCCGATCGGTGCGCATGTAAACGCTTGATCTGTTCGTTTTTATCTGATGGTGAAAAACTGACCTGACTGCGCATGTGCGACTTTGCCATTTCCGCCTGGCTAACGCTAATAATATTAGCATGTCAGGGAAGTAAAACTGGTCGGTGAGAGACACAACATTTCTACTAGAAACTTTGAAAGAGCTCAAAATGATCTGTATTACCTGTAGCTCAGTCAGGGAGTGCAATAACGTCTCCACCATCATTAAAACCTGTCGCGGGTCAATTTTGGGTGCTCAGGTTTGTTTAAGTTTACCCGGAAGTAGAACTTCTTCTTCGGTGGTTTTTTTAAGGAGAGTTTACCACTCTGCGCATGTCAGTACTGCTGTTCAAAACAAAGCCCGCTGCATGTAAACGCTCGTCATGAACAGATTGTGCCCATGTAAACAATACATTTGAATTATTCAAACAGAACACATTTCAATCCGGTCAAAGAATTCTGCGCATGTAAACATAGCTAATGAAAAGACTGTTTTAGAAAACTGCTATGGTAAATTAGTTGATTAATGTATAACATGATCATGTGCTTCATGTTAAAACTACTGTATATAGGCAGTAAATTATATATTTCAATACAAATTAAAGAACTAAAAGTTCTTGTGTAATGCTGTGCGTAGCGGTAGATATGCATAAAAATATCAATAAGTGATAAGACTTACAGTCTTTGCATTCCACAAGCTTTTTTTGTGTTTAGTTTAAAATTGTTCTTGTTTTTGATCAAAGAAAATACGATGAGAAAAAACGAGAAGTGCGAAGAGAAGAGGTAGGGACCGGAGGAGACAGACGCAGGCGGCAGTTGAGATTTTGTTTTGCCAAGATCATTTATCTCCACTGAGCAGCCTCCTAGTGCAGAAAGACTTCATGACAAAAATCAATCAGAGGGCAATCGTCCATACACAGCCACTAATGTGCCCACCTATCAATACAGGCAGAGCAGAGAGAAGAGGCACGGCGGCGGCAGCAGCAGAGGGCTGGAAAGAACTGAAAGTAGCATTTTGCCATTCCTCTCTAGTACATTAAAAATTGTGGCAGCATGATGGATTAGTGGTTAGCACTGTTGCCTCACAGCAAGAAGGTCCTGGGTCCAATCCTCGAGTTGGACCTGGGGTCTTTCTGGGTGGAGTTTGCATGTTCTCCTTGTCTAAAAAAGTTAAATCTGGTCCTCTGGACATTCAAAAAAACAAAACAAAGCAAATCAACAAAAAAAATGTAGAAACGTTTCGTCTTTCATCCGAGAGACTTCCTCAGTCTGAGGAGCTGTATTCAGCTCAGTCTCTTAAATAGCACCGTCTCAGGGTGGATCAACCAGTGTTGCTGCTGACAACCAAAACCAGCTGATCACATGCTCAAGAAGGACCATCAGCATAACAATGGATCATTAGCACACTGATGGCTGTTTACTGTTCACAGAGGGCTGAGTGATACTAGCAATCACAGCATTGTAAGAGGGGGACAGTTGAACACGTAGGCCTCCACCCCTGTTTAATGATGGACATCATCAGGCCAGGACTCTGCGGTCTACACTCATCTCCAGGCCAGCGGTCACTCTTTCAGGGATGATGTTCACATCCTGGACAGAGAGGAACGATGGTTTGAGAGAGGAGTAAAGGAGGCCATCTTTGTGAAAAGAAATCGTCCATCATTAAACAGGGGTGGAGGCCTACGTGTTCAACTGTCCCCCTCTTACAATGCTGTGATTGCTAGTATCACTCAGCCCTCTGTGAACAGTAAACAGCCATCAGTGTGCTAATGATCCATTGTTAGGCTGATGGTCCTTCTTGAGCATGTGATCAGCTGGTTTTGGTTGTCAGCAGCAAAACTGGTTGATCCACCCTGAGACGGTGCTATTTAAGAGACTGAGCTGAAAACAGCTCCTCAGACTGAGGAAGTCTCTCGGATGAGAGACGAAACGTTTCTACATTTTTTTGTTGATTTGCTTTGTTTTGTTTTTTTGAATGTCCAGAGGACCAGATTTAACTTTTTTAGATTTTTCTACCTGGATTATTGAGCATGCATCAGGATATGTTCTCCTTGTGTTTGCGTGGGTTTTCCCCAGGAACTCCAGTTACTTCTCTCAGTCCAAAAACATGCGTGTTAGGCTGTCTTCAGGCCCAGACCACCCTTGCAAAAGAGATCTGTGATCTCAGTTTAATTTGCCTGGTTAAACAGATGATAATAAATACTCAAACTGTTACAGATAGTCCCTATCTATATGTATAAAAACAGGAGGTTTTTAGTTGCTAAAATTAACATTTTGGATTCAAAACCTCTCATTCTTTTATGTTTCTGTGATAATACCTTTCCAACACGTGTCTTAGCCTTGTTTTGCTTGCAGCTCAATGCAAGAAGAAAACTAATTTTCTTTTCTCAAACACAAAGTAAATTATTACCTGCATTCATTTGGACTCACCATGCTTTGACAGTGTAGTCACACCACATGAGGTCTTTGAAAACTCTTGAAAAGAGTCAAATAGTTATGTGTTGAGGTTTACTTATAGCTCCTACACTGTTGACCTCTGATGTGCATCATATTGTGTCAGTTTTTATACATTTTTTTTAATTAACTGCCTGTCATGGCAGCAGTAATGATGTAATTGCCAGTGTTTGTGTGAGTGTGCACGCATGTGTTAAATTGCCTGAATGTTGGCAAAATATCTTCTGACATACAAAATGAATTTTAATGAAACTTGTAGAAATTATTTGATAAATATCTGATAAATATCTACAACTGATTAAATTTTGGAGTCAACCAGATTCAAGATGGTCACCACAGTTAACTGTTCTTAGCAAACATTAAAATGTCTTCAACAATCATTTTGACTGATTTTGGGCTCAAATTTGGCATGTGTGCAGCTGAGAGTCATCCTCAATGTGCACTCTGAGCACTGACAGACTTTGCAAGATCTTTGTAAATGACTGTTGGAGTCAACATTTTCTGTCTGCTAGCAAAATATTGCATGAAAATTACATATTTTTTAAACAAAACTCTCTGAAAGCAATTATTCTATGCTCAAATGGTCAACATTTTAACTTGAATCAATTAAATTTTGTCACCACATTTTATACACCTTATCAAAGACAAAAATGCCTTTAATTTAGCCAATTTTACTGTTAAGTTAAGACTTGATGCTGTGGTAGCTAAAGGCCTCTAGACAAGACTTTAAGTTCAGATTTGTTTGTGTTAAATTGTACAGCACAATCTAAAAAAGTTAAATCTAGTTCTCTGGACATTCAAAAAAAAAAAAAAAATTGTAGAAAAGTTTCGACTTTCCTCCGAAAGACGTCTTCAGTCTGAGGTGCTGTATTCAGCTCGGTCTTATAAATAGCACCTTCTCAGAGTGGATCAACCAGTTTGCTGCTGACAACCAAAACCAGCAGCTTACATGGTCAAGAAGGACCATCAGCCTAACAATGGGTCATTAGCACACTGATGGCTGTTTACTATTCACAGGGGGCTGAGTGATACTAGCAATCACAGCGTTGTAAGAGGGGGACAATTGAACACGTAGGCCTCCACCCCTGTTTAACGATGGACGATTTCTTTTCACAAAGATGGCCTCCTTTACTCCTCTCTCAAACCATCGTTCCTCTCTGTCCAGGATGTGAACATCCTCATCCCTGAAAGAGTGACCGCTGGCCTGGAGATGAGTGTAGACCGCAGAGTCCTGGCCTGATGATGTTGATCTTCTGTGCTGGGCCATCCTTTTGGCCAGTGGCTGTTTAGTTTCCCCGATGTAAGACTGATCACAGCCCTCCTGACACTGAACAGCATACACAATATTACTCTGTTTGTGCTGGGGGACTGGATCTTTGGGATGAACCAGTCTTTGCCATAATGCATTTTGGGGTTTAAAAGCCACTGGGACGTTATGTTTAGAAAATAAACGTCTCAGTTTCTCTGAAACTCCCTCAACATATGGAATGACCACTGGTCTGGGTTCCTCCTTTTCACCTGATGGCTGACTGGAGTCCTGTTTGGGTTTCTTCTCTGCTTTCAGGAAGGCCCAGTAAGGATATCCACATTGCTCTAGAGCCTGTCTTGTATGGGATTTCTCCTTCTGCCTGGCTCCCGAGTTAGTGGGGACGCTGTCTGCTCTGTGATACAGAGTCCTGATGACTCCTAACTTGTGCTCCAAAGGGTGATGGGAGTCAAACTGCAAATACTGGTCTGTGTGGGTGGGTTTGCGGTACACCTCAGTTTGCAAATGTCCTCTATCAGAGACTGAGACCTCACAGTCCAAGAAAGCCAACTTGTCATTTTTTACATCTTCTCGTGTGAACTTGATGTATTTATCCACAGAGTTGATGTGGTCAGTAACATGTTGGACTTCCTGAGATTTAATTTTAACCCAGGTGTTGTCAACATACCTGAACCAATGACTTGGTGGTGTCCCTGAAAAGGACGTCAAGGCTCTCTTTTCTACCTCCTCCATGTACAGGTTGGCAACAATAGGAGAAACTGGAGACCCCATAGCACACCCATGTTTCTGCCTATAATATTGCTCCCCATATGTGAAGTAGGTTGACTGTAGGCACAGTTTCAAGAGTTGACACAGTTGTTCTGTGGAAAGCGTGGTCCTGCTGCTCAGAGTGGTGTCTGATTTTAATCTTAAACTGACCACCTCTACTGCATCATCAACAGGAATGCATGTAAAGAGTGATGTGACATCAAAAGAGACCATTGTTTCATCAGTCTTCATGATCATTGTTTTGGCAACAAATTAAGGAAAAAAAGGCACATTTTTACAGAGCATGTTGTACAGCTCCTTGTTCAAGAAAACAAGAACACTATTGAATACTTTCTAATGAAACTATAGATAAAACCTGCAGACTTGGGCAGTAGCTTAGCTTTGTCTGTGTGTATGTGTGTGTGCTTGAGTTTATTCCATCTATTTACTTGAGAGTGGTGTGCATTAGCTGTTCTGACCGCAGCTGACAAAAGTTGAGGAGGTTCCTGCTGAGATCAATACATCAGTGCCCCGAGCAGCTGTCAGGAGCCGCCGTGTGTTTGGGTTTGTGTGTAATAGCATGTGACAGTCATTAGACTTCAGTCAGACCTTCGGCCCACCTGCCTGGAAAAAGACAGAACACAAGATCACAAGAATCCACCACACACACACACAAACCGCCGAGGCACATACAAAGTAATAGGCCGATGATGACCAGAGGCATGGCCCAAAATCTGAGGACAAGAATGGGAACACCACCTGACACCAGAATCCCCTTTTCAGGACAACATCATGCGAATGCTGCAATTCAATGTCATCTACATTCTGAAAGACAACTAAAGGCCTGCAAACGTATTTTTACACCCCCCCCCCCCCCCAATCCTGTACACAGTAAATGTAAAAGTAAGTGGAAAAATCAGTAGTGCACAAACAGGCTCTCACATACCACATCACTGCATGTTCATGAATTTCTATATTTGATGAAACAGACACCCACACATACATGTGCTCGGCCCTAAAGGCAACCGTGACCTCACATTCTCACATTAGAGAAGAGCAACACGTATATTTGACCTAAAGCAGAAATAACCAAACACAGCGGCCCTATAAATGTAATGTGCACTTCACAACAAAGTCAGGAACATAGATTTCGCAATACGCATTTACAAATGTAAATCAAAGTGAGTTAAAATAAAATGTCTATAATTAAAATGAGCAAAAATAATAATTCTTGAGACAATTGATGATGCCACAATAAACATTTTTATTTTTTAGTCATACATCATGTATGTTTTAAGTTATGCTAAAGGCTTACTCTGTTATAAACTTAAGGTACGGGTTTTAACTGAGTCCCAACATGTCACGATGATTGAAATAAGCCAACTATACAGTAAATAAAATGTTCATCTTTTGCCTCTGTTTAAATGGTAGATGTGTCTT